GCTAGCATGTTTAATATAGCTAGGAAGCCTGTGTAACTGGACCAGATCAAGTGAGCAGGGTAGGGAGAATGTGACGTCACAGAGGAAACATGGATTCATATCGCACAGAGCCTTTTAGGCTATTAGTCGGACTTTGGTTCCACTCTGGGTCATATGGGAGTTTTGAGCAAAGGAACTATATCATCTGACTTAGATTTTTAAAAAAGAAAACAGGACTCATCTGTCCATTAATGAATAAAGGAATAAACCATGTATATATGTTATTCAGTCACAAAAAGAAATGAAGTACTGGTGCAACATAGATAAATCCTGAAAACAGTATGCTATGTAGAAGACACCAGACACAAAAGGTCGCATGTTGTATGATTCCATTTATATGAACTATCCAGGATGGATAAATACTTAGAGTCAGAAAGTAGGAGGATGGTTGCCAGGGGTTGGGAGGAGAAAAATATAGGGAGTAACTGCTTAATGGATGTAAGATTTCCTTCTGAGGTGATGAAAATATTTTGGAACTAGATAAAGATGGTGGTTTGTGTAACATTATGAATGTTCTAAATGCCAGTGAATTGTGCCCTTTAAAGTGGTTAATTTTATGTTATCTGAATTTCACCTCAATATAGGAAAAGAAGAAAGAAAAGGAAAAGAAGAGAAAGGAAGGACAGAAGGGAAGAAAGAAAGAAAGGGAGGAGAGAGAGGGGAAGGAGGAAGGAGCAGAGGAGGGAGGGAGGAGAGGAAGGAAGAAAAGCAAGGAGAGCTCAGCAGCTGATGCAGCAGAAGAGAAAGAAGCCACCTCTGAGTCATCGCTACACCAAGCCTTATCTGTGGTCCTGGTACTTCCCTTCTTATACGCTCCAGAAGAGAATGTTTTTTAACTATGTTATAAATGTGAGCATTTTAATAGCCCTGAAAAAAAAACAGTTTTAAGAAGAAGAGAATCCTACCTCATCTGGTTTTTAAAACATAGTTAGTTCATTTTAAATGCTTTTTTAAGGAGACAGTTCATGACCTGGTTACTTGTTTTTCTGCT